ATTAAGTAAAGACTTGTGTCGCTTAAGTTTCGTCGGAACGAAGTTACGGAAAAGTTAATTAACAAACGGAGACGTAACAATAATTTCACTCTTGTACAACATGTAGATATTTGGTATTTTCAACCTGAACGGCATCTTATGTAATACATGTGCTACATGACCAGATCAAAGACCCATAAGGCTCAGGCATAGACGAAACTAATTTAGAATTACTGGACAGAGGGAGAACAAACAGTCCACAGCAACCATCGTCAAAACGACTATCCTTAACTAAATATCCAAATTGATAGTTCCAGTTATCACACTTCAACATACTGCATCTCGAACTTTGGACCTTACAACCACAGCCTAGCAACAACAGCTATAGAATTTCATAGCAGTTGTAGGAAGTATGACGGCTAAATAAGAAATGTCGGAGTATTTGTTTTGTTTTTTTAAATATACCCAACTCTGAATTTAAGATACTGCTATGTAATGCCCCCTCCAGTGGCACAGCGGTATATTTGCGGACTTGTACCGCTAGAAACCGGGTTTCGATACCCGTGGTGGGCGGAGCACAGATAGCCCTTTGTGTAGCTTTGTGCTTAATAACAAACAACAAAACAACAACTGCTATGTAATTTCAGAACTAAAAGCTCTTGTTAATGAATTGTTTTTACAGATCACATTTGGTTATTCTAACTCCGTGTTTAAAGTAATACAAAATGCGCTATATCGGTATGGAACTATCTAAAGCCTAAATACTTTTGGACATTGATGAGAAAGTTGTAACTGTAACATTAACACGTTTGCCTTTCCTTTATAAACTAGCACAGATAAAATCAGATTTTTGAAACATTAGTATAAGCTATTGAAAGGTAATCAAACTTTATGAAAAAACAGTGTTTTAGATCCACTGCTGTCCTTAAAATTGCTTTCTGTACCATCGATTGTGGCCAGACTGATGGTCATAATGCCTCTTGTGACAGACTCGTGCAGAGAACTGCGTGATCCCGTTGTGACGAAACTGTTTATAAACCCTTCATTATACATAGAAGTCGGCTTAGAAGATTATATTTAAGAAGACAAAAGCATTAAAGTTCATTACATCAACATCAGAGAATATAACAGGTATATGGTCGAATGGAAATGTTGTGACTCCAGTTTCTTCGGCCATTTTTCTCATGAAAATGGTCGTTAATTTCAAGGTGTGGCGGAAAGCTTCTGAGCTTTCGGCCTATGAGAGTTATAAGATTTAAATGTTTCTTTTTTTTATCCTATTCACAGTACCAAGAGATATGCTCAGCTTCATCACGATGACCTTTTCGATCAGAGGGTTCTTTTTTGTAACTGTGACGTTTACTTTAAGGATGTGGACATTGCACCAGATTGACTTGGAGACTGGATGGTACTTCTGAAGCCCGTGGTTGCTCTAAGCCCTCTTCTATGCAAGTTTTTTTTTTTTCTGTTTCCTTGGACAACATTGAAGAATCCCTTTTTAAAATAATATTTTGTTTGTTTGTACATTCTCACTTTACGAATTTTGGGCTTGTTGTAGCCAGCCATAGGGCAACTCTTGTAGTGTCCTTTACAAGATAATACATTTAGAAACAGTCGAATCTCGACCACTCTCGAAATTCTTAAAAATTGGCAATTCGGGAACAGTTCCTACCCCCTCCGTATGTCAACGCGGATAGACGCTACGGTTTTCCATAGTGGAGTATATTATAATGTATGTCTGTAAAGTATCGTAATAAAATGGCCAATCAACATAGGTATCCGCCATTGAAGGAAATGTGTATTTAAAATATGGGGTTTCATTTACTTTTCAATGAGGAAAAATACAATAGTGAAGTATGTTTAACTATATTCTATTTTATAATTTAATATAACTTTGTGAATAACTTAGAATATATTGTGTAGTAGATGTACACATATCATGATTAAATCAATCATTATGAATAAGCACTGAGTAAATGGTTTTCCGCTATTTTGATGGAAACTACAAACGTATTATTTATTGTGGGAAAAATTAAACATACTTTAATATTTAACATAAAAATGTTTTTTCTTCAACAGATTGTCTCAGATTTACTGACTAATATCAGCTAATGACAACAAAGTGATCCATTTTTATAATTGCGCCCTCTTTAGCGAATGGATGTGAGTATTACAGAAATGTAATCCTACTGAAATGGAAGCGCGACCCTTGAAATACAAGTGCATATGGCCCTATAGTTTAATATAATACGATCAGCAGATATTCTTTTTCGGTGTTTCTTATCAAGTATACTTGAAAGTTTGCTTAAAAACAGTTCTCAGTTGATTTGTAAAATCAACTCACCAAACTGTTACTTGAGAGTTTATTTGTTGCAATTTTAACAGAAATCGAATTTCACTTTTTAAAATAAATTATGTATGTTAAGGAACGACACTGTATTACATCTTATGTAGCGAATGTTATGTACATATATTATGTACGTTAAGGAACGACACTGTATTACATCTTATGTAAGGAATATTATGTACATACAGTATATTATGTATGTTAAGGAACGACACAAGTAGAAGGTCGGTACTGTATTACATCTCATGTAAGGAATGTTATGTACATATATTATGTACGTTAAGGAACGACACAAGTAGAAGGTCGGTACTGTATTACATCTCATGTAAGAATGTTATGTACATATATTATGTATGTTAAGGAACGACACAAGTAGAAGGTCGGTACTGTATTACATCTCATGTAAGGAATGTTATGTACATATATTATGTACGTTAAGGAACAACACAGATAGAAGGTCGGTACTGTATTACATCTTATGTAAGGAATGTTATGTACATATATTATGTATGTTAAGGAACGGTACAGTACCGACCTTCTACCTGTGTTTACAACTTATGTAAGGAATGTTATGTACATAGATTATGTACATTAAGGTACGACACAGATAGAAGGTCGGTACTGTATTACAACTTATGTAAGGAATGTTACATAGATAAATTTTATCTATGTTAAGGAACGACACAGTATTACAACTTATGTAAGGAATGTTATGTACGTATATTATGTACGTTAAGGAACGACACTGTATTACATCTTATGTAGCAAATGTTATGTACATAGATTATGTACATTAAGGAACGACACAAGTAGAAGGTCGGTACTGTACTACATCTCATGAAAGGAATGTTATGTACATATATTATGTACTTTAAGGAACGACACTGTATTACAACTTATGTAAGGAATGTTATGTACATAT